CTTTCCATCTCTGAGTTAACAGAAACGAGGATTTTGTTTTATTTGAATAACTTTTCGGCTGACTGTTTCTTTTGGATATTTTTCCTTGCAATTGGTGCAAACTTAGGAAAAACTCGACTAATTTTTTTTCAAACTCTCCAAAATATTTATCTGTTATTTTTACCTAGCAATAGAAGACTATTCTTTTATTACTAGGTAAAAAATTTGTTGAACCACTGAACTGTTTCTATTCCTTTTCTGATGAATGATGTGTTTTTATAGCTCATTTTGCTTCATTTTTTGGAATATGATCAAAAAATCTTTTGTTATGCAAAAGAAGCAGGTTTTGTTGATATTCATCTTCGATTATAAATTGATCTACGCAAGTCTGCCATTTCCGTGAATCTTGTTGGTTGCTGGCTGAGATTGTTAACTCCTTTTGATACCATGCTATCCAAGTATTTTGATGTGGCTAGATTATCAAGCTTTATATCAATGCTTATATCGCCACAACAAATGACGGGCGAGTTTTGTAGTGACAAATGCTCAAGAAGAAAATCAAATGGCTGAATACAAACATTTTCGCACTTCTCTGAGGGTTGAATATCAAGACTAAACTATAAGTATTTTTCATTATTCTAATTTGTACACATACACCTTCCGGAATGTTAGATTTTAGTTATTTGGCGACATTTTTTATAACTTGAATTCTTACGCCTCTTCCACTCAATGCAATTCTACTTTTTGATAGTGGTTCAAACCTTTTTAATTTGTAACACTTTTTTTCGTCTGTTTCACGTAGCCATTTCTGAGTTAAAGCTATTACATTGAGTGGTGACTCAAGACAGCCTTGCAAGCGTTTCTAGTTCTCCTTGGTTTTTTAAGAGACTTGGTAATTAAATTTTGTAGCTTCCAAAAGCGGACAATAGAATTTTTAGCACTATTACCACTTCGTACTTTTAGCACAGATACGATTTCGTTGTATATAGAAACAACTAAACTCAATGAGTACTCTAGTTTATTCCTCTGTCATTGAGTAATCTAGTTATTGAGTACTCTAGTTTCAATCCTCCTTCATAGAGACCACATAAACATTGCGCCACATCATTTTTTGTATAATTGAAGTGCCTGAATCCCTCGCGCGTCCCAACTGATTTTACTCGAGCATCTTTTCTTCATAATTTTGCGAAACGCGGCTCTCGGCGCAGTCAAAGCCGTAAATATTTTCATGTCTCCCATTGTGGAAGATTGAAAAAGTTATTTTTATCCCTCAAAAGAATTACTTTGCCGATTCTTCTTGCGAAGCGATTGCTAATAGTTTTTGGTTGATTTTTTTCGTAGGCAGTCAGTGGACAACAGTATGCCAGATTCCAATGAAATAGCTTCTATTTCAGTGGCTATTTTAGTGACCTTGTCAATGCTTTGTTCTTTGCTTTCAAACACTCTTTGCACGTTTTCATTGACATTTGGGTTTTCGCGAATCCAATTATTCTGACATTGTCTGTGCGATCATATCGTTCGATCAGTTTTGTTCCACTGCGAGCTTTTAGGCTACAGTTTCTGCCTTGTCAGCCTATGATATCTCTAGCCTCATGGAGGGTTTGCTTCTCTATCAATTGCATTTTACGTGGTACCGCTTCATGAATAGTTTTCAGAATTGTTTTCTTTACTTCTGCTATCATTTTCGCTATTTGCGAGTCTAAAGTTTGCTTGAGTGAGCTTCGAATAGTTTTAACCAGCGATGTTTCTTCGTCTTATTCAAATTTGGGGCTCAACTCTGAACAATATCAGCTCGATTTTTTGTCTTTCAGAGCGATAGGCGTTTGATCCTGGTACCTCTGCTCAGGATATTCAATAGTTTTTTTTGAACTAATATGGTTGGTAGAAGCTTCATTTCGAAGCTTCTGAAATCTGCAAAAGAGTCAAGGTCAAACTAAGTGTTAGTTAATCTCAATAGTATGACCTGAAAAAAAAACAGAAAGTGACCAGTAATGTTTTTTTGCTGTTTCTTTGTACACAACTGTCGTAATAGATTTAGTAATTCGATGAAAAAATTTAAGATGGACAAATTGATCGCCATAATGGTTTCAGCACCTTGAGTGGCGATAGTGACTATCATCTTGAAAATGGAGGGGAAGAAGACTGTTCAAATCGCTTGTTGGGGGAGAACGGGCAACTTATTTTGGCTGAGGAGAAGATCGTCTCGCTCAAGAAACACATACAACAGCTGCACAGACGCAACTCACAGGTCAGTCTTATGTCTGATATTGATGTGTTTCTCATTATGCCAAGAATCCAAGTCAGAGCTTCAATTTTCAACTCGGTTCAGTAGTTAAACAATAATAATCATACGGAATATTGACGACAATTATTTCACCGTGCTTATGATTTTGCGGGTAAGGGAAACTTGAGTTGATAATACTGATGTATAAATTGAGTTCAAGTTCATTATAATGAACATCTGATATCTGTGGTGTCTAGAGCAGAGCGAGTACTACTTTCGCGGTAAAAACTATTTTTTTACCTTAAGCGTCCGCTATTCCAACTTTTTGAAGGTGTATCAGGGGGGAATCCAAGTGGACATCAATCGTAAAAGTGTGACTGGTTTGTTTGTTTCAATTTCACGTGGGAAAATGGTCCTGGGTGGCTGAAGGTTGGGAAGCTTACGGTTAGCCAAAACCTGAACAAGACCTGGTCACTACGTTTGAAGACTTTAGACCAAATTAATCTCGAAAGTCCACCATTGGTATTTGGTCAGCCGAAATTATACTAGGTTCCAGGAGAGAATCATACCTATTTTCGTTTTAAAAATTTAAATAGATTTTGCAAGTTTCTGAATTAATGGCCTTCAAATTTGATTCAGATAAGTTAGCTATTTTTTTCGTTGATTTTTCGTTCACAATCATACTACGCACGTAAATACACGTTATAATTTTGTATTTTGTGTTTTAGCTGTCACGTAGCTTTAGTCGTCAGGTGTGTATGAAACATTGATACCATTCTTCAAAAGCAAATTTGAGAGTTTACATTTTTATTCTTTCAGAAACAAAGAAATTCGGAAGGATCAACCCAACAATTGGTAAGACAAGAATCGTTTTGTGAGTACTTCAACCATCCATGAAATAAAACGTATTGACCAGCTGTCAGTTGTAGTAATTTGATATTAGTTTAATAAGGATGGAGGTCCAATATTATATTCGGTTGGATTTAATGAGGTTAGGCTTGATAAATGCGAACTTAATTCGCAAATTGGAAGCAACCATGGCTTAGAGCAGACTTTTTCCTTGTGAAATAATGAAACTTGAAGAAAGCTCATTGGTGAACGAGTGTAATGTCATATTAAATTTCTTTGAGCCTTCGTCTGGATTTGAAAAGGTTGTTTAAAAAAAGGACCATGTTCAGAGAAATGAGTCTGAGGTTTTGGCTTCTCGGATTAATTTCCACCTTGATCCGTGCTCGTTGCTTGAGGGTGAGGCAACATACACATCGTAGGAATGTTGTCAAAAAAATTGGATGTAGTTGTTAACCAGGGAAACACTTGCGGTTCTCCGTGAAGAGCTGAACAGCTCGTATTTTGTTGGTCCTGTCCCTTGTGGATAAATCGTCTCAATGCCTCAGCAATTTGTTTAGGGCACGAGTGTGAGGCTGATGCAGGAACTGAAGAGTGAAGAGATTGAGGCCACAGTCGCTCACAGAGTGGCAGGTATGAGTAGGACACGTATTATGTGGGTATATTCTGCTTTTTTTTCCGTCTGCAATCTTGGTTCTCTTCTTGGAAAGAAGCAGACCTTGAGCTGCCATCATGATTACATTTTAACCCCCAGCAGATTTAGGGGGGAGGGGTGGACAACCCCCTCTCAGGGTTTCGACCCCCTGCCGACCCAAATGGGGACCCTTTGGGTCGACAGGGGGTCAAATCCCTTTGTACTATTTTGAGATATCCATTGACTGACCCTAAAATTTTTCTAACGGCGCCTTGGGCGCCAAAATACACTAATTTTGAGTGGGAAGCGCGCGCGGAAAAAAACCGCAATTTTTAGTCAAAATGTTCCTATTTTTCAAATCCTGGTCAAAATAGGGTCTCTACAGGGATTTGGTAGAGCTCAGAAAATCAAATTGGTCGACCTAAAAAAAGGTCGACAAAATTTTTGATTTTTTTTTTCAAAATCTACCCCCCCCCCCCTCTTCAGAAAATCCCAAATCCGCCCCTGATTTTACCATAACAAAAGGCCTTTTTTGACAATTTTGGAAATTGGTCAATTGCTCCTCTGTGTCAATGAACGTAATAAAAAAACTTACACAGGTCATGTTGATTTTGTTCTCGTTTTGTTTTTCAGGAAAAGTCTTGAAATTTGTTCAATTCGAATTGGATCTGCGGTTTGAATTTTGATTTCGTTTCAAGTTAATTCGGTAAACGGAAGGCAAATTATGCTCTCCAGTTACGAAAACGAAAAAACGTGAACAATTTCTAGTTTTGAAAGTGAATTTTAATTTCCAGCGGAATATAAAATGTACCTATTGGTTCAGGTTTCTTCTGGTTATTTGAGTGGTATTATTGTAATTTAACCTCAACTATCAAAATTAATCGAACTGACCAATTAATCCATGTTTTCAGCTGTGATAGAGGAAATCCATGGTGAGCAGCGAAAGAGAGACGAAGCCCTGTTGAAGCAAGTGAGAGAGGCTAGAACTGAGAGGGAGCATTTACTCCAACATATAGACTCTCTCAAAGAAGAAGTTCAATTGTTAGTTGCCTCTGTGCTAATTCTAACTTTTATTACCTTTGCGATAAGCTAGGGTATTGCAACCGGGTACTAGACTTTTTTTTTCCCGTAAACAACTTTGTCAACAGGACTCGTCTGGACTCATCTCTACCTTGCTTCATTATGTATTCAAATTTCGTAGCGTTCCTGGCCAACTTAGCCTGGAGTTTACAAATATGCCTGGGACGCCAAAGGTCCTGGGGGTGAGTCTGACCAGGAACTGTTTTTTTTTTTTTCAAACGGGATATATTCTGTTTCAAAAACAAAATTGTCGGCCAATTTTTTGTCTGCTTATCTATTGTTGGCATAGTTGTCACATCTTGGGATTTGTGTTTTCTACGCGCAATTTTCTTTATATTGTTTTAGTGTTTGAATTACGGTAACATTTGCAAGTTTACCAAGACTTTATATTTTCCTCTTTGTTTTTTTCTTGTTTCGCTTAAAAAATTCCTCGGCCAAATTTATTTCGGCCTATTTTTCATCGGCTTAATGACCTAATTTTGGGATGTTTCAAAAGCAACACAATTTTAGCACTCCTCTGCGCAGTTTTTAATTTAGTTGTATGTTTACCAATCTGTTTGTTGAAGTTTCATTTTTTTTGTTTTGGATTTTTTTTTACTTTTTGCAAAAATTTAGTTTTTCTCAGAAACTTCTCCTGGTTTTCAAAAAAGGAGTATCAATTGAAAGACCGCTTATTCACTCTGTGCCTGCATATTTCCCTAGAGTCTTTTTTTTCTTTTTGTCTCCCCTGTCTGCAGCCTTCGAAAAAGTATGTGGGACAATTTGATCATTTTTGATTTTTTTTCGTTTTTTCGAAAACTATCTCTCTTAAATTTAAGTTTTCGGTTTTAATTGATAGAATTGTTTTTAAAAACTCACCTACATATGTGGCTACGACTAAATTTTTTATGCACATAAAGTTATGGCCCTCGGAATAGTCAAATTTCTTATTTTTGACCGTTTTGTGGATCTTTTCAACTTCTCTCGAAAACTAGCCTCTCAAATTCGATATTGTGAGTTCAATGAGATAGCAGTAAGTGAGAAGCTCCTCTGCTTTAGCGGACGCTACCACAAAGTTGTATACAAGAAGTTATCGCCCTCTGAAAAGTCAAATTTTTGAACGTTTTTGAACTTTATGAATTCTCTTGAAAACTACCCTGCCATACCTAAGGTTTTGGGTTAAATTCTCAGAATGAATGGGCTTCGGGAAGCTCATTTGCTTTTGCTACAAGGCCCAAATTTTTTTTACTTCAAAAATTATGGCCCTCGAAAAAGTAAAAATTTTGATTCTCTGACCGTTTTTTTGAAAGATTTTGACTTTTCTCGAAAACTACTCTCCCAAATCTGATATTGTGAGTTCAATGAGATAACGGGTACTGCGAAGCTACTCTGCATTAGCGTACACTAACAAAAAGTTTTATACAAAAAGTAATCGCCCTCTGAAAAGTCAAATATATTTTTTTGACCGCTCTTTAGACTTTTCTAGTATTCTCGAAAACTCCCTGCCATACCTCAGATTTTGGGCTCAAACGGTTTGCAGGAAATAGTTATGGATTTCGGAAAGTCTTTCGAACGTTTTTTTAGAACTTTCGACCGCTTTTTAGAAACTTTTTGAGTTTTCTTAAATCTTACACAATCAAATCTGAGATGACAAGTTCCATTGAAAGAACGGGTTGCGATAATTGTTCCTGCAGAAATAACGACTCCCTAACTTTTTTAAGAGAAATGTTCTCTCTCTGGGAAAATTGATTATCTCCAAATTTCGTTTCTCACTTATTTTAGTAGAGGACCAATAATGTTTTCGGCAATGTCCAATTTTTGAAATCACATTTCTCGGGCCGCTTCAGTATTGCAAACTCATTCAATATTAAACGCGTACCTCAAGCTTTAGCTGGACCTGTAGTTGTTTTTTATCGAGACTTTCGAAATCTTGGTTCACCTTTTTTTCCTTGTCTAAAATGTTCTCAAGTTTTTTGACTGTTTTTTTTTAATGTTTGTATTGAATCGCAAGTTGTGCGAAGCTCAGCTTCGCCTCTGTGTGCATTTTGTCATAGTTTTGGGTTCATTAATTTTATTTGAGCCAAAAAAAGCTATGCAAGCCATCAGTGTAATAAGTGTTTGGTAAATTTAGATGAATGATATCGTTTTAGTCTGCAGAAGAGTCCAGAGGAGCAGTTGAAATGTGTGATCAAGGACGACTCGGAACCTGTGAGTGCTTTTTTAAAAATCTTAATCATCTAATATTTTTTAGCACTTCTCGTGTACTCGATTGCAATTTGCTGTGTGTTTTTTGACGTTCTACCTTTTTTTTCTAAGAGTCTATGAACTTCGCTCAGACTCTTATATAGGGTGTGATGATTTTTCCCCCTTTTTTGGTAAAGTATTCAGATTTTTTTCGGGCTCAAATGTACTTTTTTTGCGGTTTGGCTTTTGATTTATCTAAGCTTGCAACTTTTTCGGGCTAACAACTTGTTTAACAGAATCACTTGTATCTTGGTTCATAATGAATTCAAACTTCGATGCATTCCCAGCCAACTTATCCTGGTAACGATTATGCTTTGGACGGCAAGGGTCCTGGGTTCGAATCTGGCCGGGACCTGTTTTTTTTTCAAACGGAAATATCTTGTTTCAAATAAAATTGTCGGCGAATTATTTGTATGATTATCTCTTGTCGACTTAGTTGTCACATCTTGTAATCGTTTTTTTTTTTGCTGCTTGTTTTGTCTTTTAATGTTGCTTTTAGTGTTTGATCTACTCCTACAATGTATAATTTTTACTTACGTTGACTTCGTACTTCCTTCAATTGATTTTTGATTGATTTTTGTTTCGCTAAAAAATTTCTCAGCCCAAATTATTCCGGCCCATTTTTTATCGGTTTATTGACCTAATTGTTGGTCGTATCAAGGAAAACACAATTTTAACACTCCCTCCGCTTTTTCATGTTTACCAGTCGGTTTCTTTTTTGCTATGGAAAATTATTTCCAAATTTAATGGAGAAATATTTGTTTTTCTTAAAAATTTCTACTGATTTCAGAAAAGCGGTATCAACTGAAAGACTGCCTGCTCCCCTGTGAGCGTGCATACTCGCCTAGAGTCGCTTGACCCCTCTATCTTCCTAATTTTTTTTACCCTTCTGTCTACAGCCTTCGAAAAAAATCTGTGGGGGAACATTTGACCCATATTTTTGTGGGGAAATATTTGACTCATCTGTTCTTTAGTTTTATCGAAAACGAACCCTCCCAAACCTGAGCTTTTGGTTTCAAGGAAAAAACGGTTCTGAAAAGCTTCCTGCATATGCGACTACGCCCAATTTTTTCTATACATAAAGTAATAGCCCTCGAAATAGTCAAATTATAGATTTTTGACCGTATTGTCAATGTTTTTGATTTTTCTCGAAAACTAACGTCTCAAATCTGGTATTGTGTGTTAAATGGAGATAAACTGCAGTGGGAAGCTCACAGAACTTTTTTACAAAAAATGTTATCGCCCTCGGAAAAAAAAACAAATTTTTGATTGTTTGACCGTTTTTTTAAACTTTTTGAATACTCTCGAAAACTTTCCTGCCATATTTGAGATTTTGAGTTTAATTCAAAGTGCGGAATGTGAGAAGCTCACTTGCTTCTGCGACTACGCTCAAGTTTTATTGGCACCAAAAGTGATGGCCATCGGAAACTTTGTATTTTTGACCGTTTTTTTGAGTTTGTTTTTTTTCTTAAAAACTACCCTCCCAAATCAATCTGACATTGTGTTTTCAATCAAAATTACAGATTGCGTGAATTTTTTCTGCATAAGCGGCTGCATCCTATTTTTTACACAGAAGCTAAGATTCTCGGAAATGTCAAATAATAGATTTTTTGACTATTTGTTCGGACTTTCTCGCTAACTATCCTGCCAAATCTGATATAGGTTTATCGAAATAACAGGTTATTGAAAGCCTACATTTATAATTGGCTAGGCGCAGTTTCTTTATGGAAAAATTAATGCTCTTCAAACAAGTCCAAGATATGAAACTTTGACAGTTTTTTGGAAACTTTTTGACGTTACGCGTTTACTACCGTGCCAATTCTCAGGTTGTGTTCAATCGATAAACCTGGTTTTGGGAATCTTCTCTGCCTAAGTGGCCACAGCCTGCTTTTTGCAGAAAAAGTTTATAGATTTTGGAACGTCTTTTGACTAGTTGTTAGAACTTTTGACCATTTTTTAAAAAATTTTTGAATTTTCAATTTTACCCAATAAAATTTAAGATGAAAAGTTAAATTGAAAAAACCGGTTGTGATAATTGTTCCCACATAAGCGGCGATTCCCTAATTTCTCTAAGAGAAATGTTATCTCCTTGGGAAAATTGATTATCCTTGGCAAAATTTTATACTCTTTTCACTTATTTTAGCAGAGAAACAAGTAAGGTTTTGGGCAAAGTCCAATTTTTGAAATTCGTGAATTGCTAAAGTTTTAAAATTCTGGTTTGAAATTTTTCTTTGAATTGCGAACGTTTCAAAAGCGAGTCAATTTTTTTCCTGTTTCCTTGCGTTCTTTGGCTTTTTTCACTTTGTCTAATAGCTATGTTTTTTTTCATGAGATGAGTGCCAGCAATTGTAATGAATCATGCTGAGTGTCAAACCGCCATGCTCCTTTCAAAAGCTTGTGGTTCAAATCCTGCTGCAGCTTATTTTTTAAAACAAACAAAAATTTTCCGCTATTCCGGAGAATCGTCCGTCTCTTTACGGCGCGGAAACTTTTGAATATTCTAGTTTCTTATATTTTTCAGTTGGTCATCAGTGGAAGTAATTCAGCTATTAGTTTTTTCGCGAGTTTTTTTTTGAAATAAAAATTGATTTTTGAAAAATTTGATTGACCATGATGTGTCTCCTTATTTTGATTGGCTTTCTTTCTAATGAATGGTTTCTCTTCTGGTTTAAGCAGCTTATTTTTAACTGAAATTCACTCCAATTTTTTCCTGTAATGATGCTGTTATTCAAGTACCGAGAAGTTTAGCAAATTTTTTTGTGAAGGTAGGTCTGTGGAAATGAGTTTCGAAACTTTTTTTGCTCAAAATTTTAGACAAGTTTTTCTGGTTCAAGGGCCGACTGCCCAAGTATTGTCCACTTTGTAAGCGCTTGATTACACTTGCGTCAGCTTAGTGTGTTATTACGAACCCTTTTTTTCTAACCTAACTCTCAAATAAAAGTGTCCATTAAAACTGTTCACTTAGTGGGAAATTTCACTGTAGAGTTAGAAATTCCATGACATGTCTTTTCTCTGCTTTATTTGTGGCTAGTGTTAATCTTCTATCTTCTTTTTATTAATAAGCTTCCGTGGCTGAGTGGTTAGTGTGTGTGACTCCTAATCTCAAGGTCGCTGGTTCGAATCTCAGACTTAGCCGTGTTTTTGCTAATTCGAGGCTTATTTATACTTTTTCATATTATACTTTATAAAGCTGCTTTTTGTCGTTTGCCAAGCCAAGCTTCGCCTCTGTGTTACAAATGCGAGGAAGCAACTGAAACTGATTTTTGCCTGGGAAAAATTGATTTGGACATTCGTTTGTTTGCTTTTTTGTCTTTATTTCCAAATTATTGATTTTTTTCAGATCTTTACAAATTTTAATGTAATTTGGCAATACTTGTTATTGTGTCAATTTTCCAACTAGAATTTTGAATTTACCTGCTAGGAAGTTTTTTCTTTCTTTTTATTCAAGTATGGTTCGATTGATGTTCTATCGGATGAATCAGCGAATTGTTTGTGTCCTTTGAAGTATATAAAAAATTGTTTAATACTTCAAATGACCCAAAACTACAGGTCAGCTTTATTGAAAAGGTTCAAATTTTTTAACCTAAATATTCAAAGTTTTTAATGAGTTTCTTAATTTTTTTCTTGTTTTTTTTGTAATTTAGTCCCAATAGACGTCTACCCACATTTTTTCGGCTGAGTGGCCGCTCGGAAAAACTAAGAGCTGGTCTAATGCTGGTGGTTGTGATTCTCGGCTGATTGTCTCAAATTGAATTTTAAATTTTTTTCGACTTAGATTTTTTAGACTAATTTTCTATTAGCTAGCTAAATTCATGCGATGCTCCGCTCAGCCCAATGTTTTAAATCCATTAATTATGTTGGGTTTGTGACGATTGATCTCCAACAGGAACTTCTTGATAAATGTGAATCACACTTTGAAGCCCTCCGTTGTACAATTATAAAAATTAAACATGAAAAAACTTCAAATTCAATCAATTATCCAGCGCATTTGGCGTAGAGGTAACATATATGCTTGAGACGGCAAAAGCTTGTGGTTCGAATCCGGCTGGAGCTTTTTTTTTAAACAAACAAAATTTTCTGCTTTTTCGGAGAATCGTCCGTCTCTTTATTTTTTTTCGACCTAGTTCCCTATGCACAGAAACTTTTTGAATAATCAAGTTTCTTATGTTTTTCTGTTAGTCATCAGGGGAAGTAATTCAGCTATTAAATTTTTCGCGAATTTTTTTGTTGCTTTTTTGAAATAAAAATTAATTTGAACTTAAAAAATAAAGTTTTTTCAAAGTTTTCAAAAATTTTTTGCTTCGTCCTTTAATGAGCACGGAATTATTAGGCATGCGATTTATATTCTCGCATTTAGTATTGTTGGGACTTTTCCGATGCAAGTTCCGTTGCAATTTCAACGTTTAGTTGTCTTTTTTGTCATGTTATTTTTGTTTAAAATGATTTTTATTCCAGACAAAATGATAGTATATGAAAATGTTTGTAGATTTAGTTTTTCACAAAACTTAGCGGCTTTCTTCTCATTTTCTGTCTGCTAGTTTGTTGTGCTATGTTAGTGTCGTATTCCAAGTTTTCTGTTTTATTGGTGTCGACTTAAATTCTGTTGGTGTAGTTTACGATTTAGGTCTTGCATTCACTACATATAAAGCACTCGGCGACTATATAAGCAGTACATTGTAGTTTTGTTGGCGTTTCTACCTTAAACTTTGTTTCCTATTAATTTTCGATTTTGTTTTGAAAATCGATAAGTCTGGCTCCATCTTTTCAATTGCTCAATATCAACCTCACAAGGTCCTCTTGAAAAAACCTAAATTAATGTAATCATGAAAAAACTTTTTTTTCTTTTTTTTTAATGCGTCATGCTGTCTTTGATTTTCAGCGTCATGCTGTTTTAGTCTTATAGCTCAGCTTAGCTTCTGTGTTTAAAGTTTATTTCTTCATTGTTGAAACTAAGGCGAAATCCACTATCGAACCGCTAAAGTGTAAAGGTCACGAAAAACCTGATCGACTTCTAGTTTCAAAAGTGGTATTTATTTTTCAGATGTCTGCGTGGAATAAAAACTTTACCTATTGATCCAGTTTTCTCAAATTGGGTTACTTTACCAAAAAAAGTTTCGATCACATTGTGTTTTTGAATTTCAAAGAGCGTTAAGGCCACATATTTTTTTCTTTGAATTGGGAAGTTGGTGTTTTGTTTTTCAAAAAACAAGTCTGTTTTTTTTTCTGTTTCCTTGCGTTCATGACTGTTTTCCAACTGCCTGTTGGCTATATTCAGAGTGTAGAGATGCTTCTGCGTGAGGTAGAGACTGCGCCTTCATCCGTAGAGTTAGAGATGGCTGGCAAAGTGTTAGTGGACAGAATACAGAAGACAAGAGCGACAGCTAGTCAAATCAGAGATGAAGAGATGACACAAGTGGTCCAGGAGAGAGACCAGGCTGTGGAAAAGGTATGTTTGGTTTATAGTGTTAGTGAACCGAGTGAAGTTTCACCTATTTAAGTGTCGTCGTTTTTTTTATCTGCCTGAAGCGCATTAATTGCTGCCTTGTTCCTTTTTTATCGGATACTTCAAAGTAAGAACGTGTTAAGTTATGAGTATCCGTTTAAGTAGTAATTGTTGGATATCAAATGTCTAGTGGTAATGTATTAAAATTGTAGCAGTAGGTTGGAGTTCGATTCTCGAATACACGTTTTTTTAAGGCTTCATTTTCTTATGAGTTTTTTTTCTTCAATTCAGGGGGTGTTTATTCAAGCTTTTTTGGCTTTTTTACTGCTTCGTAAGTTTTTTTCCGTTACTATTTTTGCATTAAATTGTCCTACTTCAACTTTTTTAAGATAAATCGAGACAAACATTGTCGAGGATTGCTATATTTAGTTTTTTTAGCAGGTTGCGTTTTATTTTTGTCGACGAATCTGCCCTCTTATGACTCTGTTGCATCGCAAGTGGTGCGAAGCTCCGCTTTGCCTCTGTGTTATAATAAAGAATTTATATTTCCAAATCCTAAATAAAGGACTGAAGAACTTTTATCAAATTAAATTTATGAATGGAGAGGATACACAAAGAGCTATAGCAATACCCACAAGACGTCTACCCTGAATACATTTGTAATGATAAGAAATATAAATATATTTTTTAAGAAAATATTTAAAAAGTATTTTTTTCCTCTTTTTTTGTCACTTTTCTTGAAAAAATAATGTCGAAATTATGTTTATAAAAGATTCATATTTAAAAAAAAAATTTCGGGGAAAGATAGTTGGATTTTTATTTGGAGAATTGTTCATGAATATCATAGCGTCCGAATATTCACTTCAAGGCCTATTGGCCTATTTGCTTTCAATATTTTTTCGTGTTTTCCTGAACTTCTAAAATTTTTTGCTCATCGTTTCATGGTTTCTATAAACGAAGTGCAGCCTCGCCTCTTCGTTAATAAATTGAACGGTGTTCCGAGAACTGAAATCCAATGACTCCCACGTCATCTTTTTGCTGAAATATGAAAATTTTGATTACTAGAAAATATGATCCCAAACTGTGATGCATAGCGCTTTTATTTGTTTCAGCTGAAGGAAATGGAGATGTTTTTCTTCTCAGTGGACAAATTCGCCCCTCCCCCTCTTTCGGCTGACAACAGCAAAGAGAAACAGCCGCAACAGAGTCAAAAGAGCATGGCAGCGAAATCTCCCTCGGACAATGCAGTCAACAGGGCACTTAAGGTACATACAAATACATAGTTCTTGCAATTTCAGGCAATTCATCTGTGACTATTATATTCGTGAAATGAAAATCTTGTGTATCATAATCTTTTGATGTATGGAAGTTTCAAGATTTTTTAAAAGTATTTTAAGCTTTTTTCGCGAAGAGCGGCAAAGTTACGAAAAAAGGTCGTGGAAACCGTTTTTATCAGAAATATTTTTCTGATTTTTTTTTGTAAATACATGTTCAACTTGTTGAAGCGCCTTGAAAGAAGCATATCACTTGAGTTACGCTGCCACCATCCTCAGAATTGTATCCCAAAGCTCTGAGCGATACTTTGGAGAAGTTGCAGATCCTGAAAAGTATCATTTCGTTTATACAACACCTCAATTTACTTTGCTTTCATAATCCAGGGCTACCATCATACCTCATCATGGCCAAATAAGAGCTCGTCAATTATGTTATTTTTCTCTGATATTCGTTGAAGCCATAGATTTTTGTTCAGAACTATTCATTGAAGCCATAACTATTCATTGAAGCCATAACGGAGTAAATGAACGTAGTGAAGATTCTTTTAGGTCGTGCTGATTTTTTTCGTTTTCAGGAAAAAGTTTTAGTTTTTTAAGTTCAGTTCATTTCTTTTTTAAAAGGAAGGCAAATTCTTTATCGAGCAGCTAAAGTGTAAAGTTCGCAAAAAAACGGGATGGACTTCTAGATTCGAATTGAAGTGGTTTTTAATTTTCAGATTTCCCATTGGAATAAAAAAGATTACCTATTGATCCTGTTTTCTCAAATTGAGTTAATTTTATCAAAAAAGAGTAATCATACATTGGTCTCGAAATTGGAGGAGCTTTGAGGTCATATTTGTTTTTTTTTTAAATTCGTTTCCTTGAGTTAATGGCTCTTTTCCAACTGTCTGTTGGCCATGTTTTCTTATCTACCGCCTTATGGTTTTTGGAACAAATGGTTTTCAGGTTGACTTCTTTCATTTTGAAAATAAAAGAAGACCATATATGGAAACTTTTTGTTTTTGTTATTTGATTCGGTCATTTTATCTTTGATGGAAACAACAGGATGTTTACTACGGAACAAAACCACCAAAAGTACTCTTTGATAAATTGTTTACGACGATTTCTCTTAGCAAAATCCATACATGGGTTGTTTATGAGCTCGGCTAGATATAAACTAAAATAAACAATTTAGTTGATTTCATTCAGTATTCTACTTCTTTTCAATCAACCAATTAGTCCATTATTGTTTGTAACCACTTGTGTTATTTTTTGGACATTTCAAAGTAGCATGAAGTTAAATGTAATTAATGTTGATAAAAGTCAAGTATGATTAATGATCGGTTTAAAAGTTTCATAGATGGGAACTTTGGCAGCGTATCCTTTGTTCGACCATAGGGGGGTTCGAGACGTATACTTGATTATCTGAGGCTAGCATATTTTTCTGATGTGAAAATTTGTTCATTTCTTCTCTGGACTTATTTTGTTTTGTTTCTATAGCCCATTGTTTATCTCAAAACAGACTAATTAGTATAGGCGGATTTTAAGGCAAGTGATGTTGCGCATGTTATTTTGGCTTTTGAGTCTGTTTTATGAGGGGCTGTGCCAAATTGATGTGTTATGAAAAAAGAAATGTCAATAAGCTGGTCTTTCTCGCTAATTTTTCACTCAATGTTGCGCAAGTTTTGTGGATTTATAGTTCATAATGCATCTTTTGCAGTCTTCGATTGTCTGAATGTATTGTGAAATGTTTATTTGTTCAATCTTGCTCACACTGACGCTGATTAGCACTATCTTGCTTCTCTGGCGACTGAGTCGACCTAGGTAGCGCAGGTCGCGGAGTTTGTTTGTTTGCACTGGTTCCTCATCGGCAAATAAACTCGCTCCGCCGATGTCAGGGTTGTTTCGGTTGCGCTTCTGTCTGTCGAAATTTTGCTTCTCTGATGATCGACTGCTTGCGAGATAAGAACAGAATTTTGCTGCTAATTTGTCACTTCTCGAAGATAAAAGAGAATCATTCGAAGTTTCTTAAAAGTTAATCCATTGATGAACGTTTTCAGAACTACCTAGAGTTTTCATTTTATACGTTAGTTTCTTAACCGAAAAACAGCTAAACATATGAAGTGCGTAAACAAATTGCTTTGGGTTGTCCATATGTTGTTTTGGTTTTACGAAGTAGTTTTTTTTTGCCAGAAGTTCGGCAATGATAGAGTATGAGGACGTGCTCTCGCTTGATCTCTAGCTTCAGGTCAACCGCAGCCTGGTGGATTTCGGCCGCAATAGGAGAACCGCGTGAAAGCTCCGGAATAAAAAAACGACCTTGAGCAGCATGAAATGAGCCTCGTTCGATAAAAATAACTGAATTCTGAAAGTGTGGAAATAAGAGAACCCGACTATCTTTAGAAAAGCTGGATAGCTTTCTATGGATTCTCTGCGAATCCTAGAAATCATATTATTACACGCGCGTAGCGTAGTGTGATAGTGCGATGCAACTTTTTTCCAAGCTAAGTTTCAAATAATATTGCTTCTTTTGGTGCCACTTTTGAATCAGTAGGCTACGTTAGCACTATAATACCATGTCTTTTGACATGTGAGTAGTAGTAATTTAAAACAGTTGATGCTTTCTTATTCTATCAATTGAACCGAAAATGCTATGTGTTTCATAGAACAAAATAATATTTGAAATCTCATTTCAGAAAGTTTCCTACTGAATATACTTCTCGAGACTTTCGAAATCGTATTTTATACGCGATTTGTTTTGATACATTCTTAGTCATTGCATGCTAAGTTAGTGTGGTTGCCTTTAGTTCATTACATTTCAAATCATTGCATCCAAAATTTGAGTTTTTGTGCATTTTAAAGCTGTCGAACCTTTTCCTCTTTCTTACTCGTGTTTGCGAAGTGTATCTTAGCCTCTGTGTACATAAATGTTACAGAAGGGTGGTTTATATGAAGCTGTTTTAGTAGCTTTACATTGAACATATGAAAAACTAGATCATCGTAGTGACACCGAACGTGGCTCGTATAACTAAGCATCCCTTCTTTAGCTTTTATTGTGCCTTTCAGATGCTTCAAACATAACAGTAGGTTCATAATTCAAAAATAAACCGTGACAACTTAGTTTCACAATTAAAATTAGTTTTCGAAGTTTATTTAAGCGCCTTTTTGGGGACTAAACAAATTTTAGAAACTTCTCAAAATGTTTTTCCATCTAGTCAAACAATCGAGTGTTTTTCGATCTAGTCAATTTTTTTTTCACTGGTCTCAAAAACAATTTTTCGGATTTCCAAAAAAAAAGGTTTCAATTGGAAAGACCGCCCACTTCCCTGTGTGTCTGCATATACACCTAGTCTTCTTTTATCGTACCCCAGTTTCTACAGCCGTCGAAAAAGTCTGTGGGGGATTATTTCGAATTTTTTCTACCTTTGTCAAAACCTTCTCTCCTAAATCTGAGATTTTAGTTTCAAGTTTGATTTTTAGACCATTTTTCAAGGTTTTGACTTTTTCATAAATCACCCTACACAATTGGAGAATTTGGGTTCAAATGAAAGAACAGGTTATGTGAAGATCCCATGCATATGCGGTTTTACCCGTTTTTTCTACACAAGTAATGGTTCTCGGAAAAGTCAAATATATGATTTTTCGACCCTTGTTTCTTAACTTTTTGACTTTTCTCGAAAAGAACCCTCCCGAATGTGAGATTATGGGTTCAAATGAGAGAACAGGTTATGTGAAGCTACTCGACATACGCGGTTAAGCCCAAAATTTTTAGGAGAAAAAGTTAAGACCCTCGGAAATGTCAAATTAAGATTTTTATAAATTCTCTTTGAAACTTTTTGACTTCTCTCGAAAACTATCATCCCAATTTGAGATTTTGGGTTCAATCAAAATAATGGATTACGAGAAACTCCCCTGTAGAATTGGCGGCGTCCATGTTTTCTAAATCCTTCCATCGAATATACCAACAGGCTATCCATCCATCTAGCATCATCCATCTACCTTTCCTTCCAATCAGCGGTCTAGCCATTCATTAAGCCATACATCAATCCAACCACAAGCCATCCAGTGATCTAGGTATACAGGCAACGATACATCCATCTGTCCATCCATTCATCAAGCGACTCATCCAACCAGCCATCCATTCATCAAGCCATTCATCGATATAACCAGAAATCCAAGATATCCCATGATCTAGCCACCTTTACAGCGATACATTCATCCTTCCATCCATCCAGTAAACGATTCATCTAACCAGCCATCCACTGATCAAGCAATCCATCCAATCAATCATCAATCCATCCATTCATCCAACCAGCCATCAAGCCAATTGTACATTAACTGGCCCATACATTTAGCCATCCATCCATTGGAAAAGCGATCCATCCATCCATCAAGTCATTAATTGATCATGTGATCCATCCATCCATCCATCAGGTCATCCATCCATTCATCCCGCCATCTATCCATTTAGCTATCCATTTATCCAGCCATCTATCCATTTAGCTATCCATTCATCTAACATTCCATCTATCCACACATCCATCTGGCCATTCATTCAACGAACCAGCTATCCATCGAACCATCCCTCTATTTCGCCATCCATCAATCCAATCATCCAACCAGCTATCCATACCCACATCTAACCAGCTATCCATTCATCAAGCAATCCATCCAATCAACCATCAATCTATCCATTCATCCAACCAGCCATCAAGCCAATTGTTCATAAACTGGCTGATACATTTAGGCATCAATCCATCGATCCATTGGAAAAGCGATCAATCCATCCATCAAGTCATTAATTGATCAAGCGATCCATCCATCCATTAGGTCATCCATCCATTTATCCCGCCGTCTATCGATTTAGCTATCCATTCATCCAGCCATCTATCCATTTAGCTTTCCATTCATCTAACACTCCATCTATCCACACATCCATCTGGCCATTCATTCAACGAACCAGCCATCCATCGAACCATCCCTCTGTTTTGTCATTCATCAGTCCAATCATC